TCTGGAGCAGGACAAAAATCCTTTTTTTTTTTTTTCTTTGTTACATTTTTTTTTAAATAATCCCACTTTAACCTTTAGAAAGTCACATTACTGACATTCCTTTCTTAGGATGCAGGGTCAAGTCTGCCTGCCAGACACCTGCGGTCGTCTCCAGTGCAGGGGGTTTGTGCTTTAGAGGAGGGAGGTTCTGGCTCTTAAGGCCTTTTCACCAACTCCAGCGTGTGTCACCTACACTGTTAATGTGAGAAATTACTCAGAACCGAGTTAATGGCAGTGCTTAGACACACTAAGCAAATGGGACACTTGCCAAGACGTTAAGAGGTCAGAGTCTGGCAGCTGAGAGATAACAGAGTAGATATCAGCTCCTAGTTCCCAGATGCAAAAATATGGCCCATAAAGGTTTCAAAGCTATGTGCTTAGAGAAGAACAGATAACTAAACTTCCCACCTGGTGGAGTGGAATTTGCTGCAAAAGCTGTGTTGTAATTCAATAAGAAAACTGTCATTTGAAAATACCTACTATTTTAGAAGTTGGTCTCAGTATTTCTAAACTCTGCCTTTGTCTTGTTTTGTCTCCAATGTTTCACTAAACACGATCAAATGGAAACACTATTGGAAATCTCTCAGCTGTTGCTTTCAGATTTTCTGAAGATACAAGTACGTATGATTTTGCAGAAAGCCACGAAACCTTTCATCACGCTGTCTTCACAGCGAGATCAACTCCAGCTTCTTCCCAGTGTGGAAACCTGGGTCATTCAACACATGGCTGGCCTGTATCCAGAGGAGACCCCAGACCCCTCCTGCAGTCCTGCCCTCGTGGCTCCCGGCAGCTGCTGCTTCATGGCTGGTTCCAGGACACCTCCTTCTCCAACACCCTCATCAGGTGCCAGAAAATGGCACTGCGATAGACCTCCTCTCCCTGCCCATTGCTAAAGGCTTGGCTTATACGGATACTTCCAGCCCTGGCACAGCAGCCGCAGCTTCCCTGGCTGCTCTGACTAAATTGTTGGGAAATTTTAACGATTCCCTTTGAAGGAAAGCTCTTGGACTAGGGCAGCTCCAAAGAGCAGCAGCACCCCTAGGACACCTTGCATATCACAGAAAATTGCAAACAGGGTACAGTGACCTTAGTTCCTAACATTTCACATGAAAATGCTTTAATGATCATCCTGCAGCGTCATTGCAAAAGAGCACTAAGGTTATTTGTTGCTCTCTCAACACTGTTCTGTTCTGTTCTTTCATGAAAGAACAGTTCCCTAAATCAACACATTCCAAAGGACTTGATCTTGCTAACAGCTATACACATACCAGGAGGCAATCTTTGCCCTGCTTTATTTGCATGTAGAAATTTCTCTCCCATTGGAAGTGCAAGCTGGGAAAAGGGAACTGTCTTGAAAACACAAGGAACTGCCTTGAAAACACAGAACCTGCAGAATTTGTTCTGAGATTTACATAACCTTTATTATGTATGTGGTGTGGAAGATTATTTCAGCGGATTTATTATACAGAAGCATTAGAAAAAACCATGCTATTCACCTAGTGCACAGTAGCCCTTTGGAAGAGGAGTGATTGTTCTCCCAGTTCTTCCGTTTTGTTTGGGTTGGGTTTTGGTTTTTTGTTTGGTTGGTTTTCACCTGGCTTTAAGAGTAGAAGACGACGGTTTAGCTCACGTTTTGTATTCAACCTGTGGAACAGCACCAGTGCCACAACCAGTGTGACACAGAGACTGAAACATCCTCTAAAGATTCTGACTTCTGTGAGTGATCGGGATGGTGCTGAAAGAGCAATCTCAAACGGGTGCTTGCTCCCCAAGAGCTCACAAGCACGAAGAGCAGACTTCGTGCCTGAATGCAAGCCAAGAGCCCCTCCATTTGCAAAGTCACCTTGTTTTTTCAGGTCTTCAGAATGAGGCAAAGTTATTCCTTCTTTTAACATCGCTCAGAAATGACTGACGGCTTTTAAAGATATATCTGCTTCTGGCATGGCTTTCAAAGATATAGCTGCTTCTGGCATAAGCCCCAGAGGAGGATTCGGGAGGGAGCAGAGCGTTAGCACAGAGGCTGGGGAACGGTGCTTCGGGAGAGGGCGGGAAGGGACATGCTGATGAAAAGTGTCCCCGAATAAGTGGGGAGGGTGCGAGGGCGACTGCTGGGGTGCGGGGGGGCAGAGAGCCAGGGCAGGGCCGGGCAAGGGAGAGCGCCCCGGGGCGCAGAGGGCAGAGCTGGCTGGGGAGCGGGGGCT